TTTCAAACCCTCTCCAGGGCCCCCCCGCCTCCCCGCCTCCGAAGCAAGCCGAGTTCGAACGCCTCAGCGCACGGCGGCCGTCGCTCTGGTTTCGACATGAGCCCGCCCTCTCCCGCCGAGGCGACCGAGACGACGACGACGGCGGCGGCAGCGGCGGCAGCCCCGGGCAAGGTCGAGGTGCGCACCGACGACGGCGAGGCCCTCCACCAGGATTTTGCGGCCCGGCGCGCCACCCGAGTTTGAGGGCGAGACGAATCCCAAGACGGGCGAGGTCGGCGGGCCGAAGAATGAGCCTCTGCGATGGGGTGGTGATGGCGACTGGAGCTACAATGGGCGGGTGACAGACTTTTAATGCATGGCTGTGCGATGAATGGCATGGGCAGAGAGAGGAGCGATGCTGCCACAATACCGGAAAGATGCAAGATGAAGAAGGAAAATGCGCATCATGTACGGCGATGCCAAGTACGCTTGTCCGAGGGTCGATGCGGGTTTGCGCTGAATAATGAAAAGCCACCATGATATGTGATGGGGTACATGTACAACACCATGTAAAATGCCACGATTGAGTCGCATGGTAGATGAACTGGGGGTATTCAGAGCATTTACAACTAGCCTACAGTTCTTCATCCTACAACCGATCCCTGCTGATCCCCCTTCACGGCTCCTGCCTTGGGAAGGGCCGGAAGACTGACTTGTCTGGCATATGATATAGCTGCCAATACGAGATAGAACACCAATATGGCAACAAGATATTGCTCACTCACGAGCCCTTCTCGCCATTCACTTCCACTTCCGACTTCTCCGTTTGCTTCTCAGCAACGCTGGCAGGCGCGTCATCAACCGCACCCTGCTCACTTGGTTCCTCAGCCCTCTCAACTGGCTGATTTTCCTTGTCGCCCTCGCTAGGCGCCTTGTCGCCCTTGTCCGTAGGGCTGGCCTGGCCGTTGGCTGCCATTCGGCTCAGCGGTCTTTCGCCATGCGCCTGTCATATCAACCGACGTTACCGTGGTAGCAGCCTGGTCGCTGCCCTTACCCTCGGGCCAGTTGACAGCCTTTACTTCCGCCATGGCCCTGCGCATGCGCTCGCGTCGAGCCTTGCCCCGCAGTCGGCTCTGTGCTCCGGCGCCATTGTCGACCCAGCGGATGGCCGTGATCATGAAGCTGATGCCGTCGTGGACTGACTTGCGTCCGCCATATGTGCCGCCCCACTCGCGAGACTTGACCCCAAACCGCACCGTGCTGCTGTACTTTTCGAGCCGGGGCAGGATGAGAATCGTCACCTGCATATCGCGATCAGGTTGCACTTGAACGGGGCCAGTGTTGGGTGCCTTGTCGAGATACGTCGCCATGTTGGCGTCCTGTCGGGCCTGCTCGTCTCTCTCCTTATCCTTGCGTCGCTTGTTGGGTATTGGCTCCTTGTCCTGGAACAAGATGCCGCGGTCGAGGTCCAACATGTTGACGTCCACATTGGACCATTCGCCTCGGATCCAGCCTCCGTGTATGCACGCCGCCACGACGTCCGTATCGTCCGTGTACACGTCGGTGCCCCACAGTGCTCTGCGATATGTAATCTCCTCGCGCGCTTCCTTGGTAAGGTGGGTGCGGGATACCTTGACTGTCATGGTGCAGTTCTCCTTGTCCTTGATGAGCTTCCAGGGCAGAGGAACCGGCGTCGACGAGAATCCCACGTCAGAAGGCTGCCTCTGCAGCTGCCGAGCTGGTTGCAACCTTGGTTCATACACTACGTCTCCCAAATGATGACGCGGGCGGCTGGCGACCGATTGGAGAACCTCTTTTGACGTGACGATTGTCTTGGGTCTAGGTGGCAACGTGACCGTGGGGCTGGCCAGGGGCGTCTTGACATGTGGCTCCTTTCCAAGGTGCACCTGTGGCATTGCCCGTGGCACGGCGTGGTGGTGATGATGATGACCGGCTGAAGGGTCCTTGCCGCCGATCGTGGGCGAAGGAACGGGAGTGCCGCCCTTGGTGTTCTTGAAGGGTGCGACGCCAGCGTGTGCCGCCGCTGGGTGTTGATCGGGCTCGTGGTGGTGATGGTGGTGGTGGTGGCTGTGGCTTATTAGGATCGCTACTGAAACCTCTAAAGGGGATATTGAAACCTACTGATGATGGTGCTGGTGCGTCTTGGCACGCTTCGTACGACCAGCGGGTGTGAGTCGTCCACTGCTGTCCTCGTCGACCTTGACATCGGGTGCGTCTTTCAGCTTCCTTCGCTTGCCCTTGGCAGGTGCTTTGCCTCCCACTTCAGGTCCAGAATCATGCAAAGGAGCGTCCACTTCATCACGTCGAGCCAAGCTGGCGTTGGTGTATGCAAGTTGCGCCCCGGGCGCGACAGGGCTCGAGACGATGCCGCTAACTCCACTCCCTATGCCGGAGAACATGCGACCGAATTCGCTCTTGATGCCTGGCTCACCACCAGGGGCGGAAATCTGGGGTTGAGCCCCCTGCACAGCCTGCGGAAGAGGAGAAATGCGACCTTTGCGATTGATCTCTTGAATGGCCAGAAGGTTGCGCTGGCTCGCGTGGCCCTCCTCGCCCGGCCGCCTCGGCGAGTCGTACATCGATCCATGTGCCGGGTTGTACGCGACGGATGGCGGCGGCGGGCCTTCTTCGAGTGGCCTTCTGTGACCTGGCGGAGGCTGTGGAGCTTGCGGGTGGAGAAGGTTCATGCGCGCGCGCTCAGGGGAATCAAACGGCTGGGGCTGGTTCGGCGGACCCGTCTGTGGCATTGGATGGGATGACGGAGGATGGGAACTGGGCGGGTAGCGGTCGGGAGGGGGAGGCTGGCCATAGGCTGGAGCGGCGTGGCCTGGATAGCCAGGTCCAGCAGTGGAGGGTTGCTCGGGATGAGGATGTCGCGGATAAAATCCGGCAGGATCATAGGGCGCCCTGGATTGCTCATAAGGCGGCCGGGGCCAGGCAGCATGGTCGCGGGCATGGTCGCGGGCATCAGGTGGACGATTGTATGGAGGTGCCTGGCCTCGTGGCGGCTCGTGTTGTCGGAAATCGGGCTGGTGCGCAGGATGGCCTCGCCCTCCTTCTCCTCCCGAATGCGCGCGATCGCGTCGCTCTCGTTCCCTTAACTCCATCTCATCACGTCTCTCGCGTTCCGCCCTATAACGGTCGTCGTAAGCAAACGGTTTGAGCCCGGGCCGCTCTGGGTTGTATTCCATCGCGCCGGGGGGCACCTCTTCTCGCCGCTGATAAGCGTCTTCTGGGCCCGGCGCTCGGCCCAAGTCTCCCTGTCGTGGAGGCGCACCCTGATACGACTTGGGCGGGCTATTTGGTCTGGGAGGGCCACCAGGTATGCGACTCGACTCCCTGCTTTCTTGCTGTGAGGGCGCTCGCTGGTGGTAGGACTGGGGCGTTCCGTAGCGCTGCATCTCGGGCGTGGTTGAATGCGTTTTCTGTGGTGATGCCGCTACACTACCTCGCGGGTCCGCCCTCGGATCGCCTCTAGGATCGCCTCGTGGGTCATACGGTCGAGGGTGGTCGGGAGTGTATGGTCTTCGAAATGGTTGGTAGTCAGCGGCGGCAGAAGGCATCCGCGGAGATGCTTGGACGGACGGGGCAAAGGTCGGACCGGAAGCGGCTGACGTCGTGGGGGGAGCATACTGCGAAGGCGGCGGCTGAGAGTCGCGAGACGTCGAAGGTGGTCCTCCCAACATCGAGGATATCGACATGGAGCTGCCGGTACTATTTGTCCTCGGCATGTGACCAAGGGCAGGAAGTTCGCGACCGCCAGGGAATGACGGTGGACCGCTCGTCATGTGCGGACCCCTTGGTGGCGGCAAGCCATAAGAGCCTATTTGATGTGGGGGCTGCTGTTGTTGCTGTGGCTGTTGAGCTCCTTGCTGAGGTGGCGATCCTGGCGGTGGCATTGTGCGATTCGAGGGGGGCCCCGGAGGCAGGGATGATGTACTGGTGTGACGAGAGTGCCCATGGGTGGGAGGAGGAGGATGCTGCTGCTGCTGCTGGGCATGCGGATTCGATTCTTGAGGATACGGTCGGGGCCCTTGAGGGA